GGGGCCGCCCCAGCCGGGCTCGCAGGAACACGCGCAGCGGCTCAGGTCGAACACGCCGTGCAGGCTGCAGAGGCTGCGCACGTCGGTCTGGCCTGCAGAGGCGAGGCGGGCCTCAGTTTCCCAGGGAGAGAGACTGCGCCCGCAGGCTGCCCCTAAGGGTAGGGTTTCCTGCAGGCTGGTTCGTGCGTGCTTGCGTGTGTGTGGGGGGGGGCGCGGGTTGGGCTGGCACCTAGCCCCGCTCCACTCTCCAAATTGTGCTCTGTGTCCTGAGGGCCGGGAAGGGGGTACCTTTTTTTTTTTTTTTTTTTTTTTTGTCTTTTTGAGGCAGGGTCTCGCTATGCAGTTCGGGCTGGCCTTGAGCTCACTTTGTAGCCCAGGTTGGCCTCAAACTCAAAACGATCCTCCTGCCTCAGCTTCCCGAGTACTGGGATTACAGGTGTGCGCCACCACACCCGGCCGGGGTGCCTTTTTCTAATTCACACGGGTGCTTTGTGAATAGTGACGCCCCATTCCCACCTTTCCGGGCCCGCTCACCTGTGCCCGCCTGGGCAGCCGCGGGGCAGCACCCCGCGCCGCACTGTTCCCTGAGCCCCTTCACCAGCTCCTCCAGAGCCTCCATCCGGGCCCTCAGGGCCTGCACCTCCGACGCAGGGGCGGGGGGCTCCGCGCCCGGGGCGCAGCCACAGCCGGCGGAGGGCGGGAGGTTGATGCGGTGGGTGAAGACCACTTGCTTCTCCCCTCCTTCCACCGTGTGCTCATAGTGCTGAGAAGAGGGGCGCCCCTCTCCTGCCCCCACCGTGCGGCCCCCCGGCCTGGGAGGGGGCCTCGGGGCTGGAAGCGTCACATTGGACCTGGGGGAGAAGGGTCCCGCTCTGGCTGTGCCCAGCAGCACCAGCAGGGCCAGCCTGACCGTCACGGGGAACTGGGCTGGCATCGTCCAGGAGGCTGCGGAGAGAGAGACAGACAGATCCAGTGTGAGAGGCGCTTCAGGAAGGAGACAGTGCACCCCACACACCCATCCTCCTGCAGCTCACGGCCCAACTCTGCCACCTCACACCCAGCCCCAATGCAGGAAGCCCTCTCTGGGCAGATCCAGCCCCATCTTTTTTGCTGATGTTCGCAGTTCTACTGCTCCCTGACCCCCAGCGATCCCCCACCCCTCCTGCACATGCCCTGGTCTTTTGTTTTTCCCATCAACACTATGGGCTTCACTGGCCTCAGGGCCTTTGCACTGTGCCTCCAGGTGCTCTTCACTCCACTCTCAGAGGCTGGCTGGGCTAGGTCAGATTTTAGTTCACAGACTGGCCCTTACGCTGGTCCCAGGAGTCCCCACAGGCCCTATCACAGTGCCTGCACCTGCTCCTCGGGGCATTTTCTGGGCCTGAATATCTATCTGCTGCTGTGAATATTTGTTTATCTTTCTCCCACTGCTGGAGTGGGCGCTTCCGGGGAACAGGCTTCTGTGTGTGGAGGTCTGCGGGCCGGAGGGTGTGCCGTCCAGCACTCTGCACTGAGGGACGTTAGTGGCGGGGAGTCCAGGGCCCCAGCTCCCGGCTCCTCCCACTCCTCAGTGGGGGTGGCTCATTCTCTCCCTCTCCTCCATCACCTGCGCTCTCGCCTAGACCCTTCCTGTCAGCCTTTGACTGCTTTTCTTTACTTTGTATTTGCCCGCGTGTGCAGTGCATAATGAGCTCGTTCAGCGGGGAGTTGGTTCGGGTATGGGACACGACTTAATTCTTTTACGTGCCCTTTCCCTCCACCCCCATCAGCTTTTAAAGGACTCAAATATCTCCCTTTAAAAAACAAAACGAGACAGCAACCATGTCCTCTTGCTTACATTATGAAATACTGGGACTTACTGTACAGGTGCGAAGGTACACAAAATAAAATAGGACCAGACAAAGACCCATGTACGTGTGCTCACCCGATTAACAAACATGCCCCACGGTTAAAAAGATAAAAGATGGTCTGTTCAGTAAGTGATGCTGAGTCATCTGAAGACACATGCAAAAAAGCCTTTTTTTATTATATATCAATTATGGAAATTACCATAGTGAGATGGATCTTAGACCTAAGTATGAAAGGTAACGCAATGCCTTTCTTAACAACACCTTATAGAAAGAAAAAGTAGGACCACGCCCTTATGATTTTGGAGTAAGTTAAGATATTGTACGTGGAACACAGGAAACTGAACCATAAAAAGAAAAATTGAACCCGATTAGAATTGAACACAAGACCTCATGCATGCTGGGCAAGCACTCTACCACTGAGCTACATCTCCAGCACAAGAACTAACTTTCGGTCATCGAATGACATCTGTAAGAAAGCAAAAGGCCAGCCACAGAGGGGCGGAAACTATGTAAGATGCACACAGAGGATGAAAATCTGAAATAAAGAACCCTTATAAAACAAAACAACAAAGGACAGGCGGCCAGAAGAGGATACATCCAAAAGTCTAGTAAATACCAAAAGGTGTGCAATATCACTAGTGACCAGGGAAATACAAATTAAAACCACAATGAAAAGCCATTAGATACCCACTAGAATGGCTAAAATTAAAGGGACTGTTGTCATGAAACAACTGGAACTCCTCGTCTGTTGCAAGCAGAAGCATAAATTTAGTGGAACCACTTTGGAAAAATGGTTTGGTGGTATCTGCTAAAGCACGTAGCCTACGATCTGGCGATTCCACTTCATGGTAGCTATCAATGACAGTGCCTGCATATAACCTCCCAAAGACATGTGAACGGCCAACTCACTCAGATTAGCCCAAAGTGGAAACAACTCAATTGTTCATTGATGGTATCCTGGATAAGGGAGTTGAGGCAGAGTCATGCAGTGCAATATTACACACACAGAGAGACACCCTACTGTCGCATGCAACAAGATGCATAAATTTCACACACATAGTGCTGAGCAAAAGAAATCAGATGCAGAGTGGGGTGTGGCAGTGCGTGCTTGTGATCCCAGCACTCTGGGAAGCTGAGGCAGGAGAATCGCCCAATTTGACCCCAGCCTAGGCAACTTAGTGGCTTATCAAGATCCTGTCTCAAGATAAAAAAGAAAAGGGATGAGGATGGACACCAGTGCAAAGGCCCTGGGCTCAGTTGCCCGTGGCAAAAACAGGACATAGAGTAACTTTTAGAGATAGCGGACATGGAAGAGTCACAGGAGATTTCTGGAACTGTTTTTTATCTTGATCTAGATGGTGGTTAAACAGATGTAGATATCCAAAACTTCATCCAGCTACACACCTAGGAGTTGTGCATTTTACTGTCGGAAACTTAAACCTTAAAAACAACAATAAAAAAGAACTTTCCCTCATTCCACACCCACTCCAGCAACCGCATATTACCGCCTCTGACTCATGACCACCCTTGCACTACGTTCTGCTCAGCCTCCCGAGTCACAGAGCCCAGCGGACCACAGCTTCCACTCCCAAACCTGTCCGTGTGCCGCACGGGGCCTCACGCTGAGCCACGTCCCCAGCCCTTTTTATATTTTCCTTTGGAGATGGGGTCTTCCTAAATTGCCCAGGCTGGGCTCAAACTTGTGGTCCTCCTTTAACCTCCCGGTAGCTGAGATTCCGGGTGTGCACCGCCACACCCAGTTGTGTAAACACTATTCTGTGTCGTGTTGTCCAGTACGTAGCCTGGAGGAATCCGCGGCATTGCGGCGTGGCCTGAGTGACCACAGAGCTGAGCTGTGTACTGTCTGTTAACAGCTCCCCACATGGGTGTGAGGTGCGGCAGGGTTACTTGAGACCACTGCTCTGGTGCCACCTCCAGTCCCGTGGGTCTCGGATCCAAACCACACACCAGTTTGTCAGCCCCGCCCCACCATCGCTCCCATCTCCATAGCAATGGACCACTTGCCTCCTTGGTGTCTCCTCTGGAACCAGACTTAGAACTGTCCTGCTCCTGCCTGTCCCCTTCCATCAACCCCCACTGCAGCTCACAGCCCCATTTAGTTGAAGCCAGACCCACACAGCCCATCCCATGCCGCCACGTTCCAGCAACTCGCCCTGGAAGTCTCAGCACCGCGGAATTCTCAGAGTAACATTTATAACAATTTATGATCATATGCAAGTCGATCTAGGATGGGATTCTTTTATTACTTTCTTGTTTACTCTCAATCTACAAATGCTGTACTACTGCATTACTATAAAGGCTATGGGGGCCGGGCATGGTGACACACGCCTATAATCCCAGCACTTGGGAAGCTGAGGCAGGAGGATTGCCACAAGTTGAGGCCAGCCTAGACTACAAAGTGAGTTTAAGGCCAGTGTGATCTACATAGCGAGACTTTGTCTCAAAAAAGACAAAAAATTTAAAAATAAAAAATAAATTAAAAAAAAAGAAAGCTCAAGAGATAGCACCAGAGGATAAAGCTATCCCGGTGGAACTGCTGAAAGTCAGACAAAAGATAAAGGCCCAGAAAGACAAAGAGAAGGCAGTATATGCAAAAAGTAAGGATTCACTTTGGCCTATTAGGCAGAGGTGGCTTGAGGCAGTGAGACAATATAAGTTCTGTCTACATGTGATCCTTGTGTGTCCTTTGTTACTTCACTTCCTCCTGGTTTACAGGTAGTTTCCCTCCTAATAAAAAATGTTACAAAATGTGAGTGAAGTCGATCTTTTATAATCGTTTTCTGCAATTTATCAGAGAATGGTGTCCAGCCTGTTTTTAAAATTCCTAAGTCATCACTTGTTGAGTGAAAAGATGCAAGCTTAAGTTTGTGTATTTATCTTGTTTCTCCCCGCCCTTAGTGGATCTGTGGCGGGGCTGTGCTGGTGTTTTATACTTGTAGGTAATACACACACCGCTTGTTCAGATGCTGGCACACTTCCCTGCCAAAGGCCAAGGAGTAAAATGTGTAGGTTTTGTGGACCATCCAGTCTGTCAGAACTACTCAACTCTGCAGTTGTAACTCAAGTCTAACTTCTTAGTCATAGACAATGTGTAAACACTATGGCTGTGTTTCAACAAAACTTTATCTATAACAACAAAAAAATCCCAATTAAAAAAAAAAATTTAAAAGTTCAAGGCTATGGGGGAAGCCAGGTCTGGAGATACATATTTATAATCTGAGCACTCCAGAGGCTGAGGCATGAGGATTATCAATTTGAGCCCAGCCTAGGCAACTTAGCGAGATCCTGTCTTAAAATAAAAAATTAAATTCTAAAAAGAGCTCGGGAAGTACCTCAGAACGGAGGTCCTGGGTTCAATACCCAGCATTGCCAAAAATAAAAATTAAAAAAAAATAAGACGAGGTTTTCAGGCACAGCACCTGTTTTTCTTTTCCTGGCTGCTGTACCCCTGCATGTTGCACATAATAGGTGCTCAATAAATATTTATTAACTGTAGGAATGAAAGCAAACTCCAGACCACTCGTTCTCTCTTCCGCAGTGGTCGGCTCTTGGCCTGCAGAGTGCACCGCTCTTCCTCCTTTAATTGGCCACCACTTCTCTGCAAAGCATGTTTATCTCCCTGCCTTTAATAGATGTAAAACCCCACTACCTTCTGCACTCGTCTTGACCAACTATTTGTTCAAAGCAGAAAGAACCTAGAAACCACCTGTTAAAAGGAGTCCCCAGAACCTCAGGCGCTGGTAACATATTTTGGTGAAGCCAGCCAGGAGCAAGGCCCGCCGGGCACAGATTTGCTTTGCTCTCTCTCTGAAGTCTACGGAGTCAAGCCAAGAAGGAAGACAATGGTTTACCTTTTTCTTTCCCCTTCTCTGCCCTAGGAGGTCCTGATTCCCTTCTCTCTCGCTTGGGCTCTCATCTGTCAGATGGCTCACATCCTTTCACTTCTCTTTTTTCTTTTTGGTTGTTGGGGAGAGGCAGGGAGCTCTGGAGGGCTGGGAAAATTCATGGAAGCAGGGGAACTCAAGAAGCCATCTTTCCCAGTGCGTCCTACCATGTGGGGCAGAGAAGG